TCAGATACGTATTGTTGAGTTTCAAATTCAAGCAGGTGCAGAAAATTTGACTGCAGTCACGCATGCGTGATCGCCATTAATAGAAACAGACCAATGTGTCAGATACGAATTGGTGACTTTCAAAATCAAGCAGGTACAGATTTATTCGGTTAGTTTCTTAACAGACGACTAAAAATGTGAGGCAAAGGAAAATTGTGCCTCCCAAAAGCAAAAAACGAAGTATTAAGGAACATTAATATTTCCGTTAGAAACAAAGTATACAGGCTCATATATCACAGATAATGCTGGACAATACCCGAACAGATAAAACGTGAGGCAATAGAGAGATGATTCTGAAGAAAGATGCTGTAAATGACTCGAAAAGAACATAATCTACAAGGAAGTATTAAGGAAAATGGAAAAGAAAACTAATTTTTTTTTATATAGAAGAAAAAAAGAAATATTTTTAACTACACTAACGCATAACAGGAAGACATCTTGGAGACACAGAACATATTGGGGGCAACTGGAATTTATTAATGGATTTGTTATCTACTGCTTAATTTCTAACAATTTTTTTTTGACATGCTAATGGTTCGGATTGACAAATCGGAGAGCCGCGTTCGAATTCCAGTCAAATCCATTACATTTACTTATATGCTAATACCCTTAGGAAAGGTATGGAATCTCTTGTTCTAACAGCTATGAGTAAATCGCAGGGCAGACCGGGTTCTATAGCCTTGGATGGCAACTGGTATACCACAGAAAGAAATGGCAATCTACTGCGGGAAAAAATCTACCTCGTCTGTCTTGTATTGAAACATGATTCCTCAATCCTAACCATTAGTATGTCAAAAAAATTCTTAGAATATAAAGCAGTAGATAGAAAATCCATCAATAAATTCCAGTTGCCTCCAATATGTTCTGTGTCTCCAAGATGTCTTTCCTGTTACGCGCTAATGTAGTTAAAAAATATTTCTTTTTTTCTTCTATATAAAACATTTTTTTTTTTTTTTTCCTCAATACTTCCTTGTAGATTATGTTGGATGTGCGGATGGTGTAATAGATAATGCCTTGTAATTGTTAATCGAAGAGCAAAGTTTCAATCACCGTTGGGGGTCCTTACATTCGCTTATGCGAAAATAACCTAGGGAAAGTTATGAATCCACCTCTTCTCCCCTAGCTATATGTTAATTAGTAGGATGTATATCACTAAATCATTATTATCTTACAATCTAAAAGTATTTTCTGTCTTGAAATAACCTGCAAAGGATTGATAACCTGTAGAAAACACACGAGTCAATCAATCAGTTTTAAATGATTAAACATTTCTGACTGAAAAAGAAAATGATCATTATATTACCCAAACGATTGTGAAAAACGAAGGCATTTTAAAAATGAAACCAGTTGTGTCCTCACCAATAAGCCATTGATAAAAACTGTTTGTACTAATCTCCATACATAATCCATATATATAAGCCTCTTACCAGACGCGTCTAGTATCTACTAACACACTTATATAAAAATGACCATTTTAAATATTTCACAAATAGCGGCATTTCGCAGAAAACCAAATATTCGTTTGCGTTTTAATTCTCCGTTTATTTCCATTATTTCATTAATCACGCAACCGTCCTACGGGTTTTCTCGGCTTTTTACGGTATGTCTGGGGTCATTCTAGTCTTTTGTAATTTATTTGTTTACACTTAGGCAAATCAAATTAACGGGAGACTTGATATTTCAATTCATGCGTCGGGCTGGCTATTCGTCTCCAAATTTTCACTGATTATCCTTTTGTAATTATTATATGAAACATTACTGCAGACAGAAAGAGCTAAATATAGTAGATTTCTTTTTTAAATCATTTCTCACATTCGATAAGATTGAATAAAAGAATACCCTTTCAAACTTAAATAATAAATATCAAGGATATGATATATAAAAAGTGTGTTATATCGGAATAAAATGTCGTTGCTGCTGACACTTGAGTTTGAACATAGAACGCCAGTGGGCAAGTACCGGCGATCCCATTATTGAATAAATAGACCACGTGACTATAGAGGAAACGCATATATTTATAGGAAGTAGCTTACGACTAAAGATCGTTATTTATAGTCTATCCTCTATTACTATTCGGATCTGCATTTCTAGTCTATCCTCTATTACTATTCGGATCTGCATTTCTAGTCTATCCTCTATTACTATTCGGATCTGCATTTTTAGCCTATCCTTTATTACTACTCATATCTGCATTTCTAGTCTATCCTCAATTAATATTCGGATCTGCATTTCTAATCTATCCTCTATTACTATACGGGCCTCTGTTTCTTGTTTATACTCTGTTCCGGTAACTATACAGATTACTTTTCGAACGAGTATTATCGAGCAAGTACTATTAGTGCGGTGTTATTCGAAGGGGTCTGACACCAGTATTGTTCAACGGCGTTACTATTGTTTGTATCTGCGATTACAAAGTCTTTACTACAACGAACATTACGAAAGTGGCAAAGAGCGTTCGTTAACACCAAAAAAGGGTGATTTAAAAGTATCTCCCCATAATAAAATGCTTATAATTTATTCATTAACTACAAGTTTTACAAGAAATGGATATAAAAGAAAAGCGTTTAACGTAACAGATTTCACTACCAGCTTCACGAACCGCCGCGGAATCACGTCAACGTTCATTTTCTTGTGTTATGGAAGACATGACTTATTGTATTCGCCCTTCAAGTTAATGCAAAATCTTGGTTTTGTATAGTATACTGGTTCTTTGAAACTGGCCACTCATACATAAAATCGGGAGTTACTTTTCAATTACACTCTCTCTCTTACTCTCTCTCTCTCTCTCTCTCTATATATATATATATATATATATTTCATTATTAGAGATTATAATGAAAGCATTTTTATAATCCCTACACAAAAGCTATCATGTTTTAATAATATGATTGTATTTCTTCAGTTACTTGCAATCGACTGGCGAAACATGATCATAGTATCGAAACATGAAAGCTTTTGCGTAGCGATTTCAAAATGTTTGTATTACAATCTCTTACAGTAAAAATATATTAATAATATATTTCTCTACTTCGTATTGAGTACATTTTGGTGGATTCTTACTCCACCTGTTATTTCTCACGCGCACGCACAAACACACACACACACACACAAATATATATATATATATATATTTTTTTTTTTAAGTCATTTTTATGTTCATACATTCTTTTCATACATGCAAATATTTAAGTAAATGCTCTGTTTATAAAAAAAACAGTATTAAACAACATTTACCCGGTCCTAAATGTCCGAGAAATTTTCACAGAAAATATTCGTCCTCCGAAGATTTATCGGACATTCAGGCCGGTAAATGTTGTTTATAATACTGTTTATTATAAACAGAGCATTTACTTAAATATTTGTATCTATAAAAAGAATGTATAAACATAAAAATGTCTTAAAATAATTGTCAGACTTTGTCCATTTCATAATATATATATATATATATATATATATATATATATATATATATATATACTACTTACTGTACTGATGCGGCATTCACCCTGGGCGGATTGAGCCGGCTTCTTCCTGTTATGGGAAGAAGATTCTTGGGATAAATTACAGAAGTAGGGTACCCAGGCTTACTCGGATAACGTTCTTGCTTGCCGCGGGGTTCCCACAGACGCAGAGACAGGAACGACCAGAAGCCTCCGGTTACCGATGCAGACGCTCCTTGGATTTTCACCAGAGCCCTTGTTAGCCGGCGTGTGTGTCAGACCTGTCCGCCTTGGGTGGCCCTACCAGGAACGAAGTTCCGGCGGCATAACTCTGACACTACCGTTTACACCTCCCCACCAACATATATATATATATATATATATATATATATATATATATATATATATATATCTGACAGATTTGAAAATGTCAACGCGGTCAGATACGATCCCTGCTTCAAGCCACTCTGATGAGTTGTGACAACGAAACTGTCCCTGTATATATATATATATATATATATATATATATATATATATATATATATTACACATGCGATCCAGTGTAAACTTTCAACAAAAAAAAGTTCATCCAGGAATTCTATTGGAAGTATGAAAATTCAGTTGGAATCCGAAGGCGGTATCGAAAAGACATTCATTCAGATCTAACTACGCGGTTCAACAATGAGTGATAAGTTTGAAGCTGAAGGTACTGTACATGAGGTGCACAAGAACTGTTCTAGAAGAACGAGGATATCAACAATCCCTGTGATTGAAGAATGGGTGCTGGAAATCTTTTATGAGAGTTCAAGAAACCTATCAAAATGTCGATTGCTGCTTGTGACTCCATTACGTCAGTCGCGATGTCAACAATGTCTGGATGGTAACGGCCATATATTTTGAAACGGGCGATGACAAAATCTGAAGAGCATGCATTTTTAATAAATACTGTCTTCATATGCATTATTTAAATTAGATAAACTTGGTTTTAGTTGCTTGAATTCTTTCTTGAAAAAGCTTCAAAATGGGTAGACAGTTTTTTTTTAGACACTGTATCTAAGAATTTCCCAACGGATTGATTTCTCTAGGTTACCGGCGTGTTTATGAAAAAATGAATACGCAAAGATTCGCCTTTCTCTCTGCCGATCTTCGATAGCCATGGGTTAAAATCTCCGACTCAGTCTGGGTTTGAAGTGATCGGATATCTGGCCACACTGAGGAATTGGAATACAGCGAAACACTCTGTCTGTGGATGACAATATTAGATGCCGAAAATAAATTAATTCAGTCGAGCACCGTGGGGAAGAAACGCGTATTTGCAAACAGTGATTATTACTGCTAATAATGCAACAGTCTCCCAACGAAATGGCTCTTCCAAATCACTGATGTGTTTATGAAAAAATAAATACGCGAATATTCGCCTTTCTCTCTGCCGAGCGTCGATAGTCTAATCAGTCCTTGGTTTATCAAGGCTTTTAAATTTTAGAACGCTCATGAATATTCATCATGTGGTTGAAATTTCAGTCAACACACACACATCTATCTATCTATCTATCTATCTATCTATCTATCTATCTATCTATCTCTCTCTCTCTCTCTCTATATATATATATATATATATATATATATATATATATGCAAAAACTCACTTAAAAATGCCAACTTTTGACAAAAGTTCATATTTGCCAAAGAATGGGTTAAACAAAAAAAAAAGAAAAAAGGAAATGTAAAGAAATTTAAGACATGAAGCACAAACCATTCTGTTACCCTGATTTTTACCAATAATGTGTTGTCAGGCACTAAATATTTGCCTTCAGGAAATTTACCGATAACATAAAACAACTAATTAAATATATTTGAAAAAAATTAAACTAGTTGCCATCAGGCAGTAATTGTTAAAACCTGATTCGTAAAAATATGAAAACAGTGCTCAATACAATTCGTAGAGCTTAATATTATACTAATTTTTTTAATTGTTATTTTGGGTGAAGGAATCATATTTTTAAAAAAATAATTATATATAAATATATAATATTAATATATGTAATAATAATTATATATATATATATATATATATATATATATATATATATATATATATATATATATAAAAAATATAGTCTTAAGGTGTGCTATATTTATGGAATAAAGTGCTCAATATCAGAGATAGAGCGTGTGTAAATATAAAGTGAACATAAGTCAACACTTAGAGGCGACAGTCTGTTTCATACTAGATGCAATCGTCAGGCCTGACGATTGAATATAGCATGAAACAGACTGTTGCCTCTAATGTTGACTTCTATGTTCACTTTTTATATATATATATATATATATATATATATATATATATATATATATATATATATATATATAGGTGGAGTAATGCTCAGGTTAGTGACTGAGGTCGCTGTGGAAACGCCGAGAGAGAGGCAGACATCTAGAAGGAAAACTGTGGTGTCTGTTGCCTCTAATGATGTAGACGTGTTCTTTCTTGAGTCAAGGTGCAGTCACTCAGAAAGTGGGATAAACGTCAAGCAAAGCCTTTCCTCACGTAAAAAAAAAAAAAAAAAAAAAAACTTCACGTACAGACATTGCTTGAAAACTTCATGATCTTACTGTGTCTTGATATAGAGGCTGGTCGTAGTCAGAAAATGGCAAATCCATTCAATGAAGGGTTCTAATAATATTAGTTAAAGAATGCCTGCCTTTAGCTGGAGTAAAAAGCCACGGAAGTGCAGTTCTTTGATGAGCTCTTTTACGGGTATTCAAGCAATGGTAATGCACGGACACGTGTTTGCAGCTATATATATATATATATATATATATATATATATATATATATATATATATATATATCCCAAAACACACACAGAAGAAACTAACATATACATTTTTATTTAATTTGTTTAAACTTTGTCTTTGAAGCTCTGATTTTTTAAAAATTAGTCAGTATTTTTATCCAGCTACAGCTCCCGGCCTTAATATTCGAGAAATTTTGTCAGAAAAATATTTTTCTGACAGTAGATGTAGTTGAATAAAAATACTGTTTAATTAAAGAAAAAAAACAAAACAAAAAAAAAAACAGAACTTCTACTTGATTATGAGTAACCATCTAAAATAACGTTTAAACAAAATAAATTACAAATAACCATATGTCGGATGTAATACATTTTCTACAAATAAATTGTTTTTGTTTACGTTAAGATAGGATGATTCGAGAATCGACAGAGAGTTTATGTTCAAAAGGCAAATATTCGGGCTTCGTTTGACCGGAAATCCTACGCGAGATGGCAGATGTTGTGTGTGTGAGAGAGTGAGAGCAATCGAGAGAGATAGAGAGAGAAAGAGAGAGAGAGAGAGAAGAGCGATAAGAAGAGAGAGGAAGAAAAAAATGAAAATGCAAAGTGCAGAGTAAGTCAACAAGATGAATATTAACAGGGAAAACAATATTTTCTCCAAATATTCAGTTTACTTGACACCACGTCGCCCTGATCTCCTACGAGAAAAGATAGGATCAGGTGTTATGCGCGAATCTCTTGTTGTTCGACGTCTTGATTTAAATCGTGTCGTCCCTGATTCGATAACCACTGATTCGACAAGCACTTGACTTAACTATTCTACCATAGTTATTTTAACGATACACTCATTAATAAACGAAAGCTGTAACATCCATTTCAGAACGCACACACACACATATTCTGGCGGCGATGCTTCTTGTAAAGAAGTCATATTAAAAATGATTGACACTTTTTGCATAATAAATTTATCGATTATTTTTTCTAATAGTTAGTGTATAGCAAATATGATTTTTGCTGATGTATAAAACAGTCAGAATTCATATTGGCTCCAAACTTTTGACTAACATGGCACGTCGTCATGGGTGTGTTTAAGAAAAATATCATAGGAAATTTATGGGACGCATTGTGTTAATATGTCAATAATTTTATATTCAAAGTTATATTCAAAGCGATAGAACGCTGCATGTCATATATTATCAACGTGTAACAGTATCTATCTATCTATCTATCTATCTATCTATCTATCTATCTATCACTTTGTCTCTCGCTACATATAACTATCTCTGTTTCTATATATTTATCTTTATATCCATATCCCTCTCTCTATATATATATTTATCCACCCCTCTCCATCTATCTATCTATCTATCTATCTATCTATCTATCTATCTATCTATATTTCTCCGTCTCTCTCTACATATAACTATCTCTCTTTTTTATCTATTTTTCTCTACCTATTTCTCTCTCTCTATGTATATATTTATCAATCTCTCTCGCTATCTATATATCTCTTGTATCTATCTCAATATATAGGTGTGTGTGCGTTATCAATAAGGTATACGACGTTTGTTATATTAATATTTTATCATGCTATGTAATTTTATAATAATTTATTATTTGTTATATCATTTCATTTAAAATACATTGCACACGTTTCTGAGCTTGCAAATTTTTTTGTTTTTTTCTAATCCATACTATAGTAGTATTTTTTACTTTCTAGTTCTCTCCCCATATACATACATACATATATACATACATACACACACATATGTGTGTGTGCGTATGTATGTGTGTATTTAGGCAGCAATCCTTTTTTCATGCACATTTCATTGAATACAACTTGCAATTTAAAAATTGAGAAATTGTATAAAAACTAAATAAAAGCACCTTGTCAATCGTATTCAATGAAATATATATATATATATATATATATATATATATATATATATATATATATATATATATAATAAATGGTTCACCCTGTACAAGGTTCTCGAGGTAGACGTTTACATTAAAAGGCAATTTATACGAGGAGGAAACCCTAGACTTCAACAGGTTAAGATTGTTGTTATCCTCTTGGGAGTCAGTTCCACAGAGCAGTGGTTCGCGGGGAAAAAAGGCGTTCGATTGAAACGGAGGAATACGTGGGAATCTGCATGGTTTGCTACTATATAAGTGGCATATAATACAAAACTATAATGGAAATATAGTTTTAAAGTATCCTTTACTTATGAGGTAGGGTGCTCGATATCAGGGATAGAGCGTATGTAAAAATAAAAGAGTCTATAGTCCATTCCATGATTAAAAGCAATCATCGGACCGTATATAGTGATTTTCTAAGCTTAGTTCTGGCACAAGGGTGAAAGTTATGGGGCACCCACTGAGGATCGAACTCACAATACAGTTATAATTGATCGAGTGTGACAAGCTTGCTAACCATTACATCAGACCATATATATGGCAAATGATATATATTTGTTATATATCTCAAAACAATTTTATAGAAAAAGAAACGATGATAAAATGGAATGAAAAACGTTACACGTTTCGACATTAAAGACTTCATCAGAGTAAATTGAGCTTTACGTCGATGCGACTACATATGTTACCGCAGGAAAAGCGGAAGCAGAGAATTTAGAGTTTTTTTTTTTAAATATATGTTTTTAAATATTTTTAATATATATATTTTAGGTACACAGTCGATTATGGACGGTAAGAAAGCAAATGGAATCGGCTAGAATGTATTTAAAAAAATAATTTAAAATTTAAAATTCTCTGCTTTAAAATCGGCTCTAAATGACTCACAAAGTGTTAATAATCAATCATTTATTACGTGAGTGTTGTTTATTTAGCTTCTGTTTATTCGTGTAGTTGAATTGTGTGTGTGTTTTCAAGGGAAAACATATGAAAATCAAATGTACTCATGCAGTGGACAGTTTATATTTAAACTATCACTGGATCCAGAAGAGAATTCGGGAATAAAGTAAAGAATAAACAAATAGATCTTTACTGATCTTTAATCAAACGCACCCAGTATAAGTAAACACAATTTTATTTTCCTTCGTCCCATCTCTCTCCCTCACCTCTTCTCTTTCTTTTTTTTTTCCCCTACCTCCTAACTTCTAATTGTCTATGGTGTGTATATGTCACCACGAAATGTATCTTTATGCATTAGACATCCGTCGACTTTCTTTCTCCTCTTTTAAATCCCACCCCCACATCTCCTAAAATTCTCTCTGTTAAGGTTTCATCTCCTCCTCCTCATACTTACACTTTCTCTAAATTCTGTTTTGATTTTCGGAGTTGTTTTTTCTGTTTTCATTTTGAATTTGTAGGTCTGATGATTTGGATCGTATTTACGATTCCAATGGAATAAATTATGACCATGGAATATTAGTGTTTAAAGCCTTTTATTATATCCTTACTCTGTCCTAGACATTGAGTTCTACCTGGATTCTTCCTCTTGGAAAATTTTTTTCTGAAAATATACATGTATGGGTATGTTTTATATATATTTTGCATATGTATGTATATTTTTCCACTAATATTATCTATATATATATATTTATATATATATATATATATATATATATATTTATATGTATATATATATATATATATATATATATATATATATATATATATATATTTATATGTGTATATATATATATATATATATATATATATATATATATATATATATATATATATATATATATATATATGTTGAAGTCAACACCAAGAGGCTGTTTCATGCTAGACACAATCCTAGAACAGCTATAGGTAATTTTAAGGCACTTCGGTTGAAGATCTGGCTTAATTTACTGGGAGGTGCTTCTTAATTAGATTTAAAAATTTGTGTCCTAATTTGGTACGGACTAATTTGTTGAAGAGAGGTGTATACGAAATTATTCTCTTTTCTGTAGTGTTTTTTTGAGAATAACTACAATTTTCTCTATAATTTCGATAAGATCTGTAACAACTATCGGTAAGGATTTTGTTATAGATAATTTTGTGTTTATCGAATATTTCCTTGCTAGACGAGTGCTTGCTTATACGGCGTTCAACGGATGATGGAATATGCTTAATAACTGGCGTTGGGTGATTGAAATTAGAGTTTATATAAGCGTTATTTTTCAAGAAGGGTTGGAAATTATTTAAGATTAAGTTTAAGGTTACATCTAAGAAGTCAACTTGTTTTATGTTAGAATTAGTTTTAACCTTGAGGTGTAAAGATTTAAGCACTGTATGGATCCATTTCCTCAACTTGTCAACTTTGCTTCCGGTAGAATTATTCACTATGCTGTGAACGTTGGAACTTATATATTACTTCCGTTCTCATCGCATCGATATATATATATATATATATATATATATATATATATATATATATATATATATATATATATAACTAAATATGTTAGCGCTATCACTGATATCGAGTGCTTTCAATAACTACATATACGAGCATATATATATATATATATATATATATATATTTATACACAAATATATATATATATATATATATATATATATATATATATATATATATATATATATATATATATAAATGGTTTATTTTGGATTAAAATCCAACGGAATAGTATGAGGCCATTTGGAAAAACATTTATATTTGTGACTGGATATTTTGATCCAATTTAGATTGGTGAGACAGAATATGTTTCACCCTAGTCCTGGATATGATGATAAAATATATCCAACGGCATGGCGGCTGTTTAGGAGATATACATCTTGGTTGAGTAGAACTTCGAAAAATGAAAATAGGAAATGGAAAAAATTAAAAATTAAAAACCATTTTAGCACTGAATATGGAAGTTTTGAAAACTGTGAAATTGGTCAAATATAAACTGATCAAAAGTTTAAGACTATACCTAAAAGAGGCCCTAAACAGAGTCGCCAATGCCTAACAAGACATCTCAGTAGTGGGTTGCACGACCGTAATTGTGAATAATTTTAAGAAGAAAAAGAAGAAGAATTGAAAAGACGGAAGTTAACTGTTGGCATTTCATGTAAATTTTGGAAAATCAAACATTTTATAGAAGCAAGAAGCTGGAAATGTGTTCCACAAGTGAGAAGTACGATAGAAGAAACTGTTAGCATAGAACATACGGTTAAATGTAGCCACCTCAACTGTAAAATGATGTTACCAATTTAATACAACGCTTAAATTCATGAGGTTTATGCACAATAGAGGAAAGTTTCTCAGAATAATTGCCATGAAAGTATTTATATAAAAAGACCGGGCAGGGAAGCCACATTACAACAATGGGAATGATTACGAAGCCGAGATGACAGATAAGGACCAATGAGGTTTCAGGTTCTTCTTTGAATTTTAGAAAGATTCTCTAAATATTTAGCAGCAATATAGAAAGCAAGGATGAATGGTAGACTTATGAATATATAGGAAAGATTCTGTTGTGGAGTTATTTCGCAGTGGAGACATGTATTTGTATTAAATCGGTCCTAAAATAGGTTCGACGTACAAAACGTTAGGAACTTGATATAATAGGTATTACGCAGAGTAATCTTGTTGTGATCGCTGATACTTTCGTATTCGACTAACTGTCGTCCGACGTCGACTAGTATTTAGTCACCCCCCACGAGGGTATCATGTGGCACAAGGCCGGTTTAACGTGGGATCTCCGAGCCCGTGTGCTCGGCCAAAAATATACCCTTTGAACCTGTATAAACGGGACCAGGGTCGGCCAACCTCCCCAACGAGACGCCGCCCCTCGGCACAGCCCCGCTCGGGCACCTCCTCGCCCGAAGACAGAGAGTTCAACCGTTCAGCCGGTCGTCCGACATCGACTAGTATTTAGTCACCCCCACCCACGAGGGTATCATGTGGCACAAGGCCGGTTTAACGTTGGGATCTCCGAGTCCGTGGGTCTCGGCCAAAAATATACCCTTTGAACCCGTATAAACGGGTTCAGGGTCGGTTTACCTCCCCGAACGAGACTTCGGCGTAGCCTCGTTCGGGTTCCTCACCGCCCGAAGGCAGAGTGTTCACCGTTCTGCCGTCGTCCGACATCGACTGACTGTCGTTTCTATTATTACTCCGACTTATATGAGGTGTCTATTAACTATAGAATATATGTGTTTCATCGTAACAGATTCTGACGAGAAAATTGTCTTGCACAACACAGGAACCAACTTTCCTTGCGGCCCACCTAGCAATCGCTTCAATATAATCTTTCCACGT